TTGACTCAAAACAACACACTCTGAAAGCTTATTCTTTTACCATGAGACTGATCTAGAAAAAAGTTTTCCCAAACAAGAATTTCTACCAACCTGATTCGGCTAGAAGGAAATTTGGGGAAAAAAAGATTAGAATTGGTTGAGCGTAAGGCTGAGAGAAACGTAACTCAAACAGAAAAGTGAGATGTTGACAAAGGCTTGTCAGATTTGGGGAATCGTCCTATATTCAACAACTTTGTTGAGTGAGTACCAAATTTCTCTTTAGAATTTGAATTTTTGTTGAGTTTATTAGTATCGCAAGCATAGTCCGAAAAAAAAAATAGACTTCTTCAGAGTTCTCGCACGCGGTTCGAGCTTGTTGTTTCCGTAAAGGCCTTCGGAAGAAAATACGGCAGCAGATAGCGATAGAACCTTTTAAATTTTCTGGTTCCTGTAGTACAAGGGCGTGCTTTGAGAAGCAGCTATATCGTTATTAAATAACTGTGGATAACGTGGTAGGTAAAAGCCCAAATCCAACTTAAGTAGTTTTGAGGTAATGTCAAACTAAGCATTTCTGTATTAACAATAATTTCAAATAAAAGGTTTCCTTAATATCAAAACGCTCGTGAGTAATTATCAAAGACGTCTTATCCAACCGAATTCTTTAACGTGCCAACTTGTGAGTAGTCAATTTGAACATGTCACCAGAAAGAACTACCGAGGTGTTTTGTGAGGCAAAACGTCCGGGTGTCTGTAAAACGTGGACCGGATGACTGCAGATGGCAGGTGTGGATGGCGGATGGGAAAATGCGAATGGAAAAAAAAAACATATATAAGAAACTAAGAGGCGTTACTCAAATGAATTGAAACAGCGTTTTGTGATTCTGCTTAATGTTACTCTGTCTTTAACCACACAGAACGGGAAAAATTACATGCTGTTTAATACTGAATGTTGCAATTACCGTCGCGTCGTCGGCAAGTGACCCTTGCCAGGTACCCTGGCTCCAATAGTCTGCTCTAAATAATCTAGAAAACAGCTATTTGTGCTTTAGATCACTGACTGTGAATAACGAAAGATAAAGAGAGAAAAGAGTTCTTAGACTATTTAACTACGTTCTGGTACGGACAACTGTTCGATTGTTATCCGCAAAATTTGTTTTTGCTGATAGCCTCTTGAGACACCGCAGGACACTTCTGTGTTTCTATTGGCGGTCGGCATTGCGAAAAATTTTGAGTGTTGACGTAATTTGGCATGTGGTCACCTAAAGGCGTCTTTTTTTATTACGCGATCATGGAGTATGTAAACCATACGGATTG